CCAGCTCGACCCCCTCCGGATCCCCCACCACCCCCGCCGAAAGTCCTGGCCAAGCCCGATTTTCCCCCTAGTGGGTTATCCCCCAGACCCACAACCCTAATTCCAATCCCACCCCCCTCCCCCCTCCCAGAACCCCTTAAAAGTTTAAACAAGGACAATTTTAAAAAACCCCGCAGCCCCCTTTCCGGCGCTTCATCTCCCTCAGCTCCTCGGTGAACCAAGGAGCCAGGCGAGATCGGCGCCAGGTCAGAGGCCGCAAAGGCACGACTTGATCCAGGGCTCCAGCCGCCGCCCTATCCCAGGCGGCCACTAGTCCCCAGATGAGGCGTGAGCCAGAACCTCCGGGATTGGCCCAAGTTCTATCTGGAACCTATCAGGTTCCATCAGGCGCCTGGGGCGGTACCATCTTACCGGTTCCGCCTCCCTGCGGTGGGGTGTTGCGGTTCGAAGGTCAAGGCGAAGGAGCGAGTGATCTGACCATGACAAGGGCTCGATGACTATATCCCCTATCTCGAGATCACTCAACCACTGTCCAGAGACAAAAACCAAGTCCAGTGTGTTTCCCCCAGTGTGCGTAGGGCCATGAATTAGTTGGGTCAGGTCCATGGCCGTCATGGAAGCCATGAACTCCCGAGCCACCTCAGACGCCTCACCCACGGATGGCAGGTTGAAATCCCCCATGACCATAAGTCTGGGAGTATCAACCGCCACCGCGGCAATGACGTTGAGTAGCTCGGGCAGGGCTGCCGCCACGTGGCAGGGAGCCAGGTATGTGATCAGCAAGCCCATCTGAACCCCATGGTCCCACTTCACAAGGAGGGACTCACAACCGGCTGTCTGAGGTACAGTGGTCTCCCTCGGCCTAAGGCCTTCTCTAATAATAACCGCTACTCCCCCGCCCCTCCCCTGCGACCTTGGCTGATGGAATGCGTGGAAACCTGGTGGGCACATTTCTACCAGAGGGACCCCTCCCTCTGGGCCCAACCAGGTCTCCGTAATACCCGCCAGGTCCGCTCCCCCCTCGTAAACAAGATCACAAATGAGGGGGGCTTTATTTACTACAGACCTGGCGTTGCACAACATCAGGCGAAGGCCCGGGCCCTGGAGGTCTGAGCTACCTGGAGAACGGGTGGAGCCTTGGGGGCCGGAGCACTCTACCGCTTGAAGACAGCGGGTGCGTGCTCCCTTAACATGATATGGCCCCCTGCTCCCGCCATATCTACCTCTCCCACACACAGTACCGATGGTAGAAACGCAGTCTGGACCAGCTCGACCCCCTCCGGATCCCCCACCACCCCCGCCGAAAGTCCTGGCCAAGCCCGATTTTCCCCCTAGTGGGTTATCCCCCAGACCCACAACCCTAATTCCAATCCCACCCCCCTCCCCCCTCCCAGAACCCCTTAAAAGTTTAAACAAGGACAATTTTAAAAAACCCCGCAGCCCCCTCTTTGCAGCATGCCACCTCTCGGGACTCCAGAGCCCGTCATCGAGGTAGGCCCTCGATAGAATGGAGGGCCAAGCCTGCGAGAGGGGGGAGTCTCGCAGACCAAGAAGCTCCGCTGCTGAGTACATTAATCATAATGGGTGACACGACCATATCCTGAGGGTGTATATACAGGACCAAGGAGAAGACAAAAAGATGGGAGAAATCTCAGAGACATATTTGCAGGATCAAGTCCCCTGTCCCCTCACAACAGAGGACATAGTCCAAAGCCAGGACGACCACAGTTCCAAGGGGGAAATAGATCCAACCACCCTCTCACGGTGGTTAGGTCAGCTGGACAACCCCCTCTTGTGGTGGGGTGGCAGCAATGAGCCGATGCATATAGACAGCGTCCAGGGGTCAGGTCCAAAAATCGCCCTCTCACAGCGTTTTGTCCAGTGGTAAAGACCGATGGTAAAGTCCCCTCGCTGGTAAAGTCCCCTCACTGGTAAAGTGCATATATGTAGAAAGCTGGTAAAGTGCATATATGTAAAAAAAAAAAAAAAAAAAGCGTCCCGGTTTAGCCCCCAGGGGCTCTGACATCTGGCCACCCTCTGACGGTGGTCAGGCAATGTCTGGCCCCCTCAGCCGACGGGATGCAGCCATGTACCCCCAGTCTCCCATTCAGGTGGAAAATAGCCCTCTCCAGAGTCAGGGGGGGTTCAGAATAGTAATAGAGCACAGCACCAATGAGTCCCACAGGCTGACAGTTGGTCCAGGTGGGCCCAGTTCTAACGAGGGAACGCTGGGGGAGAGAGAAATGGGGCAAAATGGGGCAGTTTTCTCGAGCCCCCAGCCCCCCCCCCACAACCACAAATTGAGGCCTCCCAGGGCCCAGAAGATCACTCCGGGTCTTTTTCACCCCAACCGTGGTTGCAGGTCTCCCAGTCCTGTTGGTTTGTTGCCGCCCAGCTCCTTTTCCAAAGGGGGGGTCCCCAGCGCCGTCTGACCGTCAGCTTGCCTCCACAGCAACTGCCATCACCGCTGCCCCCGCGCCCTTGTCGCCAGCCCCCGAAAGAGCCTGGCGACGTCCCAGAGATCTTCTGGGGGTGCCCGACACATCTTGCAACCCTTCGGGCAACCCCCCCGGGCTTGGAAAACTCGCTGCGCGGTGGGCGCCTGCCGCTCCAGTTAATTGCTGGCCTCCGGCTGTTAGAAAAACGCCGCCGACGTTGCCGACGCCCAGCTGATCGGCCTGACGCTCCGTGCACGAGGATGGTCTGATTTATGGCTTTTTTCCTTGTTTTGTTTTTTTATGCTTGAGCATGATAAGGAAGAATCCCGTGACTTTTTGGCTGCAACTGCCTCCTGCAGACCTCTGCTAGTGAAAACGGAGCTCGGGAGGACCCTCATGTGGCCCTCCTGAGCTCCATTTTCATTGGAGAGGCATTGCAGGCCAGTCCTTCACTGTTTCCAGGGTGGCCGCGCGGACCAGATCAAAGCACCCCACAGGCCGGATCAGGCCCCCAGGCCTTGAGTTTGACACCCCTGATGTAATGGCTAGAATAAGCTCCTGATCAAATTGGTTTATATCTTCCTCTTTATTTGTCTCATTGGTGTATTTGCTTAATATATAAATCTTTAAGTTAATTTCTTTTCTCAAGACATACTAAAAATACTAAAGCAATTAAATCCATATCAACTTCTATTTTTAAAAAATTAGCTACCAAACAAACCACAGTAACAAGTTAAGAGTACAATAATCTTTTAGTCATCTTTTTGTAATATGAAAATTATAAAGAACTTTAGTGCAGAATAAAACATCTGAGACGCAACTCTTTTTATCATTGAAGACCAACCAAAAGAAAAAAAAAATTCATGTGCTCTGTAAAATATTTCCCAAAACAGGAAATTCAATAATATTAGGGTCTCCTCTAATGTTTCTTCCTAATGGATATTTGAATATAACTGATGTAGACTGATTCTGTTTTAGGGCTTTTCTATATGCATAATAACATATATCTCAAAATAGTAGGAAACTTTGCAATACGTTTGAAAAATTGTGGCCAAAGACCATCCTAAACCTGATTTTAGAAAACAAAGCCAGTCATTTGAATCAGACATAGGAGCAAATGAGTAGCTAGTGCATTGGATGCAGACACCGGTATCTTGTCGCCTTAGCACCCTGATGGTGAACCTATGGCATGTGTGCTAGAGGTGGCATGCAGCACCCACTCTGTGGGCATGCGAGCTGTCGCCCCAGTTCAGGTTCGCTGTGCATGTGCACATGCCTCCCCCCGGCCAGCTGGTCTTTGGGTCTCTGCCGCATATATGTGGGGGCGGGGCACTTGTGGGGTGGCCCGCATGTACATGTGGTGGGGGTGGGGCACATTCAGGAGGCCCCTCATGCACGCACAGGGCGCATGCACAGGGCACACGTGTGGGGCATGCAACATGCACAGGGTCCATGCACAGAACGCATGCATGGGGGAACGTGCATGCATGGGGATGCATGTGTGGTGGTGCATGCATTGCATTTGGGGGGTTCAGGCACACATGCACACACATTTTGGGCACTCGGTCCGGAAAAGGTTAGCCATCACTGCCTTAGCGTATCACACCTTCCAATATCTAATCTGAGCTGTTCTTCTCCAATTCAAATGTCTGAAGCATTCCTGAAGAGGAAGACTAGTGTAGAGTTTCCTGCAGCAATCTACTCTGGATACAAGCAATCACACTGTATTCTGATAATGTTATAGTTGACATATAGGTCTTGCTTCTGTGGAGTATGGTGATGGACCTCCAAAAACACCTTCACCTGAGTTGCACGCCAATTCAAGGAGGATTTCAGTATGAACCTGGAAAAACCTGTGAAGACTCTAGCAGGAACTTTCTGATTCTATACAAAACACACCATATCTTTGTTAGCATCATTCGATTATTTTCTTCTGATGAAACACTGGGTATAGTAGCTACTTCATATTGACAGCTGAGGAGAGCATATGGTTTTCCATTTAATTTGTGAACAAATTAATTTCACTGTGAAAAATCCCAGATTGATAACAGAGTTGCCTGAAGTCAGGAAGCTGAGTGTTCATCTATGGCTATATAATGAAGAAAAAAAGAAATAGCACAAGCCAATCAAGTTTCACACCTTAGGGAGAATGTTGGTGAAGTTTCTTTTGCTTTCACACTAATATGTGCTGAGACTGTGCAAGCAAAGGTGTCATTTCTTATCAAACATTCACTTGGCATCTGTCCATTAAGTTCACAATTTACACTATTTCCCAGGGTACTTTTAAAGTTGAAAATTTGGGTAACATTAATATAATGCAGGCAATGATTTTGTATACTTTCTAGGAGTAAGATCATAGATTCTAGTGGAACTTATTTTATACTAAAATTAAACTATTTCTATTATGTAAAGAATTGTCAATGTGGGAGTGCTCTAAGTTATAAGAATAACTTTATGTGACAACACCCACTTCTGTAGCTTGGTTCTGCTATCTCAATGTTAAGAAGGTTGAATTTTTTCCACACTGACCTTCAATTCTTTCACTTGTTTCCTGAAATACAGAACAGTACTGATTGTCCACAGATTGTGCCTGTTTCTCTTGCACCAGTATCCACAGGGACTTTTCAGGACATTACAATCACTTTGAGAAATGCTGCTTTTATAAAGGTAATAAAATAAATAGACTTTGTAAAAAGAAAGAGAAGGTAGATCCTATGTTTGCACCTGAAGTCAAATAATTGAGTTTATTAAGTTAATACATGACATGTTTTTCCCTTAGCGATAATGACATAGTTATTCTGAGGGTCTTAACAGAAGACCGACGAGTGACTGAGGGGGCTAAGTAGGAAAGAAAGAATATGCTCCATAAAAAGCATTTCCTTGGAATTTTTTATATGTAATTCAATGATAGTCATACTATACATGCATTCATAATATTGCAAAAGGTTCATTTGAGGGGAAAATGTACTTCTAAATGTGAAGAATCTTTTTTCCTGATATATTATTCAGTGAATTTTGCAGGCATACAATTCTCACAAGAGAAGTTTGCCATACTGATTTTTGGATATCCTCATGACTGAAAAAAGGGAAATGCAGCTCGTTAAAAGCAGAAACTAGTAAAATCTATCCTAGAAATTAAACCAAGATCCAAAAATTTAAAGTTATCATCCTATGCAGTGGTGGGTTTCAATTTTTTTTACTACCGGTTCTGTGGGTGTGGCTTGATGGGCGTGGCATAGCCTGGTGGGTGTGGCTTGTTGAGCATGGCAGGGGAAGGATACTGTAAAATCTTCATTCCCACCCCACTCCAGGGGAAGGATACTGTAAAATCTCCATTCCCTCACCACTCCAGGGGAAGGTTGTTTCCCCCGATCAGCTGGGACTTGGGAGGCAGAGAATAGATGAGGGTGGGGCCAGTCAGAATTTTTACTACCGGTTGTCCAAACTACTCAAAATTTCCACTACCGGTTCTCCAGAATTGGTCAGAACCTGCTGAAACCCACCTCTGATCCTATGTCTTTCAATTAATTAAGGAGAAGATTCCCCCTTTTTGCCTATCTAAATGCTGTCTCATGTTACATTGGGGCAATTTTTAATTGAGATCACATCAAAGTGAAGTTTCTAATAATCTGACTGAATATTCTTCCTTCCCTCGTTATCTCTTCTAATACTCATGTATTGCTCTTATTCTTTGCAGTGATTGCTAAGTAGGAGTAAAAAATACAGTGCTATTTATGCACTTTTGAAAAGATCATTTGGTTATCAGTATGTAGGAAAAGAGGTGTGATATACTGTATATGTTAGATTCAGTACAAACAGAAGGAATTTACAAATATCTAACTACTGGATTTAAAGCTGAAAATTTAAGAGATGATAGCGAAACTTTCAATAATTGAAATACATGTTATGTCTTGCCTTCCTAGGAAACTATTTACAGATATACAGTAAATTGGATTGCTGGTTTGTGTGTCTATTTTTGTCTAATTTTACTGGCATCACCTTTTAACACCAGAGGCAGGAATATTTTGTAATTATGAGAACATTTAATAGATAGGATATTATCTTATTTATTCAAAGATGTATTTCTTCTGTTCTTATATTTGGATGTTCCATCTCTGAGCTATGGGAAATTTAATATATTTTAATTTAAAATATGTAAAATATTTAGTCATTTCAACAAGCTTGTTGGAATTAAGCTGCATAATCATTACTAGTATTACTGTTATAATAAATGATATTGAATAATTGAGTTCAGAACTTGGCTCATTGATTTATCAATGCATAAGAAAATAAATACCTAAAAATCATCCCTTTTCTGTTAGAAAGTATGTAAAATATTATTTACTCTACATTTCACTCCTTACATTTTTACTGTTTAGGAAATGCCTTTGGAGTGTCACTTTGAAACTGAAAGTGATAGGATATTTGAGGCTCAGTGGCTAAATGCATCTGCTGTTCGGTGTACTAATGTGTTGGTGAGTTCATGACTGATTATTTTAATATTTTTAGAGTTTTCTGCTTATAAATACCATAGTAGCATGTTACAGACCATGTGCTACCATTTTATCAAGTCACACTTTCCACCTAAAATTTCAGTCTAGTCTAGCTCAATGAACTGTATATGTTCTGTTCCAAGCTGTTCTTTCTAATAGGAACTTCAATTTATCTTGATGTATGTAAATACCTTATTTACATACTTACTTCAGTTTATACGCCATACATTTCCAAAGAGGCTTACAACATGCTGATTCAAGAATGATTAAAATTAACAGAAAAACCAGCTTATAACAAAAATTAGAGCAAATCTGATGCACCATCATTCAATTGGTGACATTTTATTTCTTCACCCCTGAGTGTTTTTACCACGGACCAGAAACACAATAGAAAAAGAGTGGTCCATAGGTAGTTTCTTCCAACTCAACTGTGGGATCCCTTCATTCCTTTGGTGGTAGAACCTACATCAAGACTTCTCTCTATGGTCTCACCAGACATACAGCTTCAGCTCAGAGAAAGTGGTCTCAGAGGTGTCCAGCTCCAGTGCAATACAAGTTTTCCAAAGTGATGTCCAGCATCTTAGGTTGCAGTCAGAAATTAATTGGCAATTAGAGTAATTCCCATTATAGTGGTGTTATATAAGTGAATTTCAGTATGCTACCTGGGCTGCAGCTGAAGGTTTTGAATGATCTTATGAATGAACATATCTTTTCTTTTATGTACACTGAGATCATATGCATCAAGACAAATTCCTTGTGTGTCCAATCACACTTGGCCAATAAAAAAATTCTATTCTATTCTATCTTCATAGGCACTCTGCATGTAGAATATATCGTAGTAGTCTACGAACTAAGAGAAAATGGTGAGGTAGCACCCTCTAGACATAGGGTTCTCTAAATACATCTCTACTGCATCTCCTGCCCAGCTCATAACCGGTATTACTTATAAATTGATTATATTCTCCCAATGATCCACATAGAAAAAGTAAAAGAAAAAGGACAAAGCTCAATGGCAGCAAGAAGTAGAGTGCCTGAGAGTTTGATCTCTTCTCCACCCATCAAGTAGAACTGACCACTCAAAGAGAACAGTAGGGAGTAACTTGCTACCCAAAAATCTTAGTTTCTCCAGCCACTCTGTAAGAGTCCCCCACCCGCATGGAGGGAACGGGAAATTCTTTTGCTGCAGCAGCATTTTATAACTTTCCCTGTGGCTTCCACATTAACTTTCTGGGGAAGCTGGCAGAGAAGATTGCAAATGGCGATCACATGATGATGGGGCACTTGGCCACCAGTTATAAGTGCAAACAGGTTGCCAAGTGCCTGAAATGCAATCATGTGGCCATGGGGATAGTGCAGAGGTCATGATTTCAAGGACAGGTTGTAAATATTTTTTCTTGAGTCTCTCATAACTTCCAATAGTCATTAAGCAAAGGGCCGTAAATCGAGGATTCTCTGTATGGTATTTGTTTAGCCCATTCTCCTGGTTTCTTCCGTTGAATTTGTGTACCTTGTAATACAGAAATGCTTTCACAGTAAAAACGTAATTTACATGTTTTGGTCTGCTGGTTCAGTAAATGAGACAACCCTCTTCTCTGTTTTTATGCAGCTTCATACCTTCGAGAAAAGACACTTATTTCTGGTAAATCTTCAGTTGAAAGGAAGACCTGAAAAATTTATTGACAGTCCGCAGATGATGACAGGTTTGACATAAATTTGATTTGCCTTTCATCACTTTCTAATTTGAGTATTTCATCTATAAAAGGCTTACATGTTTTTCACTAATTGGTCTTTTCATTTTATAGTCTCCTGAAGTAGGTTAGAATTCGTAAAGCCAAAAAAATGCAGTATTTCAATATACAGAATTCATATCTGTATGCAGATTATCTTGGTTCTTTCTTGTTCACAAGTCTTAAGTGGGTTTCATATAGTTGCTAGCAAACTATGCATATTGGTAAAAATAACACTTGCCATTGTATTTAGAATGTATTTTCTCAGTCAGTTTCAGGATATCTGCATATTGTTAAGTTTATATCAATAAGACATATGGACAAATGTATTTTGGAATGGAATGGAATTTATTATTATAGTACAAGATATGTGGTATCCAATAGTTTAAGGCTGATTTACGTTTTACTTTGGGGATGTTTTTATTTTTTATTTCAAATTGATTGAAGCTTCGATACCACCTTGGTAATGTATGAAGGTATCGTTTATCTAGCTGAGCTTTGCAATATCCACAACAAATGTTCTCTCTGAATAGTGGCAGAATTCAGATAACAATTGTATTTGTGGATCATAGATCTTTAAATAACTATTAACTATAATACGTAAATAAAAAATGTATATGCGGGTTTTAATTACAAAATTCTGAAGATATTGGGAATGTCTACAAGCAGTCTACAGTTTACCTATTTGTTATTGAGTGGCCTTGATGAAATGTTGCTTTGTTTCAGAATTCTTTTTCTAGTCTATAGTTTAGTTGGAAGTCCAATTCTGTACCATATTTCACCAAGTATTAGTACAGACTGTTGGTTAATGAGAGTCTCTTATTTCAGGGATAAATTATTTTTGAATGATACATACAGATTTTTTTTTAAAAAAATGTATCCTTTAATGTGTTTACCCCATAGTTGAAAGTTATTGATTATTATTGGTTTAAGATGGTTTGTAAACCACTGAACTATTTTTTTATTTATACAATTTATTTATTTATTTAGAAAATGTATATGACTGCCCATCTTAAATATAACTCTGGGTAACTAACAACCAATTTAAAAAGTAAAAAGAATCCATAGCCAAACAAAATTACCCAATATGAAGAAAAACCAAGGCACTTCTTTAATAATAAAGAATTGTGAGGATCACATAACAATTTGAGGGCAGAACAAACAAAAAGAATCAAACTTGACAGCCTTGGAACATAAGAAATAACCTCGCCCACCTTCAATAAACTGTTTACCATTATACCTTGAGCAATTTTTTCCTCAACAATCACTGCTAGCTTTGATACCATTACTTTGTATGAGTAGCTAGGATTTTTGCCACCAAGGTGCATCTCTTTACATTTGCTTACATTGAATGGTACCTACCATTTGGATGCCTACTGTACTTCCCTAATGAACAGAAATCCATTTGGAGAATAAGGAAACAGCCAGGTGTTCATTGCCTGTGAAAAGCTAACAGCTTTGGGGCCATCCAAAACACCAAGGAATGCTTTTCCACAGAGTAGATGCTGCTACTGAGACGACATGATTCCAGCAAAATTACATTTTTTTGAAGGAAGAGACCTGGAGCTTACCCTATTTATTAAGATCAAGTACAACAAAAAATAAATAATAGGAGAAAGGCTGTCCACAGCAAGTAGCCTGGCCCTATGCCATAGATGTCTTTATAGGTGATGAACAGGATCTTGAATTTTCACCAAGAAGACTTAATGAAAAATCTTTGATGCGGGACTTTATTAAAGGCTTCTTCAAAAATCTGTGTAATTGATATCTACTGACTCGCCTTATAGAGCGGAGGTGGCGCACTGGTTAGAGTGCAGCACCGCAGGCTACATCAGCTGACTGCTAGCTGCAGTTCGGCAGTTCAAATCTCACCAGATCAAGGTTGACTCAGCCTTCCATCCTTCCGATGGTCAGTAAAATGAGGGTCCATACTATTGGGGGCAATATGCTGACTCTGTAAACTGCTTAGAGAGGGCTGTAAAAGCACTATTAAGCGGTATATAAGTCTAAGTGCTATTGCTATTGCTATCCACATGCTTATTAACAGCTTTAATAAACTCTAGTAAGTTAGACAGGATCATGCTTAGTGAAACCATGTTGGGTATCCTTGAACATCGGTTGTGTCTCCAGATGTTTGGTAGTATAATTTTTAATAGCTGTTTCCACTTTCCTCCCCAGGACAGATGTCAAACTGACAGGCCTAGAAATTCCTGGATTTCCCCAGGAGCCATTCTTAAAAATTGGAGTTACATTGGCCAACTTCCAGTTCCCAACTACAGAGGCCAAAAGTAGAAACAGGTTACATATTTCAGTTAGGAGGTCCACAGTCCCAGTTTTAAGATCCTTAATAACCCTTGGATAGATACCATCTGGGCCTGGTGACTTGTCGATATTCAGTTTTGTAATAAGGACTAACACCTGTTCTTGTGTCACCATTATATGGCTCAGTTTTCCTTTTGATGGCAAGTTAGTGAAATGTTCACATCACACTGAGCATTTTAAATAATGTTTGCTATTGAAAAAATACTTTTTTTTTTCTAACTGGATGCTGTAGTGCAGAGTTGATTCTCATGCACTGGTCTAGAATTTAAAAAATGTAGCACAGTGTGACAAAGGGAATGCTTAAGTACTAAATTATGTCGTAGAAGGGAGAAGTGCCAAGAATTACTGGGAAAGCTTTAGGATTACAGCAGAAAACTCCTGTGCAAACTCATATTCTTCTGTTGGATTTTAAATGTTATGTTGCTGGAAAGGGGGAGAGATTGTGCATGTTTCAGTTTTAGCATACGCTGTCTGTTTTTTTCAGTGGAGATTTATAATTGTGCAATTGGAAGTGCCGATTGTTCTCAGTGTCTTGGGAGAGAAGATCTTGGTCATCAGTGCACTTGGAGCGAGATCACTTCTAACTGCAGACTAAATACTGAAGCCTCCCAGATCCCAGCCATGTGTCCTCCTCCTGAAATTAGGAAGGTAAAATTTGGATTCACTGCAGTATTCACTGTATTTCAGCTCTGAGGCTTTAAAGTAAAAGACAAAAAGTGCAGAGTCTATCTATGGGCAGAATTGAGAAGCCTAGTGTCCTGAATGTAAGATGAAGCAGGAATCTGAATTTTGATCTATCGGAGTGTTTACAACGTGACTACTATTTTGAGACAACCCAAGAGCAAAATACAGAACACAGAGGTTTTGTCATTACAAACAGTGGTTTATATACAAGACTTCTATATACAGACATACATGTGGTAGGCACATACCAGGCAAGCAATCAATCTTCAACTATACACGGAGAGCTACAATGCAGATAGAACACGACGAGGAGAGAGAGAGAGAGAGATGCCCTCTAATGGCCTCCCTTATATAGACAGTATCCTCAGTCTTAAAGGGACAATAATCCTGCTGACTCATTCTCATTTCATCCTTACAGCGGCAGGTCAGCTTTAAATTATCATTACCCTGACATGATCTTTGTAACAGATATGTTAAGTTAGCTATAAATGATTGAAACAATGAATGATCATGTAAACATAATACCTTTTATAAGAAAGGAAAATCATGGATCACAATTTTCAAATGAGATATCTCCTGAAGACTGAGATGGGAATGTAAGCATTTTTATAACCTGATTAAAAAGTGTGTTCCTATGGAAGTTTATGGGAATTATGCTCATTAATTTTAAGGGAAACTATATGTCATTCCTTCTATTTTAAATGATCCAGATTCATTAAAGTTGTATAGCATTATTATACCAGTTCAAAATCTTCCAAACACTAGCTTTCATCCAGAAAAAGATCAAGCAACCATAAATTTTTTTTTATGTGTAGAAGAATTAAAACTTTTTTTAAAAAAAATTAAAAAATAAAGAGCCAGGTTACTTGAAAAAAAAAAATTGTGTTCATACAAGATCGATTGTCAATGTGTAAATATTTTGTGTCCAGGAGATAATGTATAAACATATAGAACCATAATGTTGAAAGAGGCCACTGAGTCTAACCTTCTGCTTAATGCCAGAATCCAAATTAAAGGATTTTATTCAGGTGTGTACCTGTGTTCCACTTCAACACTTCCAAGAAAGAAGAGTCTTTTGCTTTCTGGGTAATTCGTTCCATCTCACACCGTTCTTACTTTTAGGACTTTTTTTAAAATACCCAGTCAGAATCTACTTTCCTGTATCTTAGGTCTATTATTGTAACCCTACACTCTGGAATGGGAAAGGACAGGACCTTCTTCTAAGTGATACCTTTTCAAGTATTTGAAGAATGCTATCATATCCAACCCAGTCATCTTAAGTCTAAACCAGGGGTGTCAAACTCGCAATTTCACATTGTCGTCATGTGACATATCACAACTTTTCCCCCCTTCGCTAAATCAGGGGTTGGTATGGCCGGTGCGTGACGCATCTGGCCTGTGGGCCACGAGTTTGACACCCCTGGTCTAAACAGTCAGCTTCTTCCATTTCTCTTAATAGATTTTGATTTCCTGATCATTCTTGTTGCACTTCTCTCAGGGCCGGATTTTCCTATAGGCTAACTAGGCTTCAGCCTAGGGCCTCAAGATCAAGAGGGGCCTACACAGTGGTGGGATTCTGGGGGCGGGGGAGCCAGCAATTTAACAAAGGGTTCGGTGTTTTTTTTTGTAATTTTATTGGCCCACGGAGCTTCAGCATAGGCTAATTGGCCTCCCGGCTCTCAGCTGATTTGTCTCCGCTGTTTTGCTCAGGGCTCTTCTGCTTCCTTGCAAAGAAACAAAACTGAAACTGCTTTGCTCTTGCTGCAAGGTTGGAAAATTAGGCAGGCAGAATTCTTTTCTTTTTCCTCACCAAAAAAGGTACGTGCAAACAATGGGAAATTTAGGGAAAAAGAGGAGAGTTCAGGATTTTAAAACACAAAAGAAAAAAAGCTCTATTTAACTAGGGAATTGTAATAATTGAGATACTATTAATTGTATATTGTGTTGAAAGCAGAAATGGTTAAGTTGTGGTTTGGAGGAATATATGGGGGAAATTATTTGGTTTATTATTATTGGTAAATATAATTAATTGATTTGTAAGAAATTGGATTGCATGGAAATAATTGGAATATTCATGTTCATATTGATTAATATACAAAAAAGGTAGTTATATAACTAATTGATTTATATTAAAATGTTGAATTTATATTAAACAACTAATATTACATAATTAACCAATGTGAGGATGGATATAAAAATAGATGACAATGGGAAGGGGTATAATATAGAATAGAAGGGAAAAATTGAATTTGATTAAGATTAGAGATGAGGATGAAGGGTAATATTGGTTTTTTACAAAAATAGATGAGGAATAAATATGGCAAAAAGGAAATATAGAAATTGTAAATTTAATTGAAATGACTAAACACTGTTTAAATTTGTGAACCGGCCAAATACTCTGTTCAAAGAAAATACATTGTATGTTTGTATGTGTGTTTCTAATTATCGTTATTTATTCATATTTGTTCTCTTTTATTCTTTAAAGTTTAACAATTCATTCTTTATCTTAATATCTTTATATTTGTTTGGGGTTGGCTTTCTTCCCTTTCATCGTTTTTATTGTACAGCAATCTTTCTCCTCAAACCTACCACCTCTCTCTTTTCTTTCCTTCTTACTTTCTCTTCCTTCCCCTCTTCTTCTCCTCCCTACTTCCTCTTCCTTTCTCCTTCTCCTCCTCTCTTCCTCCCTCTCTTACCCTCACTCCTACTCTAATTTCCCTTCCCTTCCTTCATCCCTCTCTATTGCTGTATCCTTTTATGCATATGGACTACTCAGAGGGCTAAAAAAGTTATTTTTGACTGGTCCTCGCACTTTTGACCAGTCCTCGAACTTACGACTGTCCTCACATTTTACGTTTTTGCCCTATCTTGTCACCATGGTGAAGAGAAGCAGTTGTGAAATGAGTGGCATGGTTGTTAAGAAAGCTGCACGGGCATAAATGTGAGGATGGTCATAAGTGTGAGGACCGGTCAAAAGTGCGAGGCCCAGTCAGAAATGACATTTTTCAGCCCTCTGAGTAGTCCCTATGCACATAGCCATGCCCACCCGGTCACATGACGAGCTACCCATGCCTACACAGTCATGTGACCAGCTAGCCACGCCCACTCAGTCACATGATTGCCAAGCCACACCCCCAACTAAGCCACGCCCACAGAACCTGTTGTTAAAAAAATTGAATCCCACCACTGGTGAAAGGGCCTCATAAGTGGAATAGCCTAGGGCCTCTTTTCATCTAAATCCGGCCCTGACTTCTCTGCAATACCCTGTTCCAATACCATTGAATCCTTTCAAAATTATGGTACTTTATGCCAGAGATCCCCAGTCCCTGGCTCATGATTCATTAGTGGGCCATCGCCCATTTGTAACTGGGCCATGTGAGAGGTGGACAATTGCACGCATACCTCTGCTTGCACAAGGAGCGGGTGCTTGCACTCATGTGTGAAACTCCATTTTTGTAAGCAGCAGGTGTGCGCGTGCACCAGGGGTGGGTTCTACTTATCTTTACTACCGGTTCGCAATGGGGCCACGCGCACAGAAGCTTCCTGATGACGTTGGGGTTGGTGGGCAGAGCCTCCCGCCGGTTTTACTACTGATTCTATAGAACCGGTCCAAACTGGGGGTAACCCACCACTGGCGTGCACAGTAGGTGCATGTGCGCCTATCGCTGTCATAGAATCACACCCTCTCCCCCCTCTCAGGGCCGCCAAGGTTGGGGAAAGGTTGGGGGACCGCTGCTCTATGCAAAACTAGTTCCTCTATTCAAGATGGAGAGTGATCAAAGCAGATTAAAATGGGACAAAGACTCCAAAGATGATTTGGAAATAATGCTGAGATGTGGCCAAAAATTAACTAACTTTGTTTGTTTGTTTGTATTACATATAGATACCACCCATCTCACTCTCATTTTGTTTCTTCACAGCCATATCATGCTGTTGCCTCATGTTTTGTTTCCAATTTACCACTAAGATCTTTTTCCCCCAAGTATCTTTATCAGCCAGGTAATCACCATTCCCTTTCAACATCCTTTCAACATCTTTAGTACCTTGTTTATCAGCACTTTTGAGTTAATTTAGTTTTGCTTTGTGAGCGACAGTAGCTATTTCTTTTAACTCTACCATGCTCTTATCAGGAGATTCGGGCAACAAATGTATTGCTTCCATTGAAGTTTTTAATTGGTTTCAATCATGAAAAAGAGCATTTAAAATAAGCAATTCCAAATTAGTCACTTTCTCTGTCTCTGGTATCTTTAATGATTCAGGAATAAAAATAGCTTTGCAATTTTTTCAGTATTATCTTCTTTTAGCTTTTCTATCAGCCTGTTCTTCTCCACTTATTGAAAACAGTAGAGGTGGCTATCTTCTCTTGAGTCTCACCTGGAACCCCAATAACTGCTTTCACTTAAAAATGAAGCTTTCTGCTACCCAATTAGGTTATATTGCAGACCAAAATAAGGAGCTAGCCTCCAAGTCTGATTTGGAACCTGAAGTCATGATTCACAAACTAAATTAAATTTACTGTATAATGCATTACCTTTTTAGTACTCAATGGCACATAGAACAATTTTTTTTTCCATGGATAACGCTACATGCCCATGCTTATCAGAGCAATTCCTTATTTTACACTTGAAGTCCAAGAGAAGAAAAGGCAGAAAAGAGATAAAAACAACAACAACACGTACTTGTGCAGCAAGATGCACCATGAAGTATCCACAGGAACGTGAACAGCATGCGTAACCATCTTACCCAATCTCTTCTGTTGATCCTATAACAAAGTTATTGACTTGTAGTGTTCTTCTTTCCTTTAATTATATTTATCTATGAGCTGGAGGGATGGGTAAAAATGCTACTTGAGTGTCCAGATTATCTTGCTTTCTCTGAAAGTTTTCCAAAATCTCAGGTAATACAGGTAGTTCTTGACTTACGACCACAATTGAGCCCAAAATTTCTGTTGCTAACGTGAGACGTTTGTTAAGTGAGTTTTGCTCCATTTTAAGACCTCTCTTGCCATAGTTGTTAAGTGAATCACTGCAGTTGTTATGTTAGTAACACGGTTGTTAAGTGAATCTGGCTTCCCCATTGACTTTGCTTGTTAGAAGGTTACAAAAGGTCATTTACATGACCTTGGAACACTGCAATCATCATAAATATGAACCAGTTGCTAAGCAAATGAACGTTGATCACATGGCCATGGGGATGCTGCAATGGTTGTAAGTGTGAAAAATGGTCCCGTTGCAACTTCGAACAGTCACTAAATGAACTGTTGTAAGTCGAGGACTATTTGTATGGTAATAGATGCTTCTTTGAAGCGTCATTTATATGTAGTGAAAGGAAGGAATTCCTTCCTAAACTTGCATTTGCTGCAAATACATGCCTGGTTGTCTTCAAGAAAAACAGGCCTTTGCAGATCATGTTGCAGCATCCTAATCATTCATCTATGCTTTTGCTTCTCAACACGGCAATACTTGAAAAGATTTCATTTAATATCCATATTTTCACATTCCCAAGTATTTTTGTTAACTTTAAAGGAAAATCTGATTATAGTTTTCCATGCTTGAGCTCTAATCACTTGTCCCTGTCAGTTCTTTCTTTGGGCTAATTCCCTGGAATCTGGCTGCCTTATATTCCTCTTAATACAGTCTCTGATTATTCCTCCAGAAGCACTCACTTCTCATTCTATTTTTTTAACATTGGAAAGAGAAACATGTGGCTCCAACTATTTTGTGCTTTGCAGAATTTGTCAGTATAGATTAGCCATCATGACTGCAATAAATTATAGCTTCCATTCATCAAAATGGTTACTGTACAACTTTATGCATGTCTGTATGTGAATACATTCTCTATAGGCTGTTTCTGTTTTTTGGCTTTTCTTCTTTATAATTTTGGGTAGTTTTTAGGGTTTTTTTTTTTAAAAAAAGAATCAGCCACCCACAATAAGTAATCAGGAAGTCGCAGAACACACACCTTGCAATCAGCAATTATTTAGGACATGAGCTCTCCATCCTTCATAGTTCACCATGCAGCCCTTCAGATCAAATAGCCTCTTTCTTTTCCTCTTCTTGAATTCGCACGTCATATTCCTTGGTAGCTATGGTATGATGAATGTGTGGTATGATCAATAACCTCATCTGTGTTAGTAGCTCAGCTTTTTGACGCATGTAGAACTGGTAACATATATCTGAATTCTCTTGTCTCTAATCAAAATCTGTGAAGGCAATACCAGGGGTGGGCTGCTGGGGGTTTGCAGTGGTTCAGGAGAACCTCTAGCTAAGATTCTGTGCAGTTCAGAGAACCCCCAAATCCCACTCCTGGCTGCCCCCGATCAACCCCCCCCGCCCCTCCCAGGACTTCCCACACAGCCCATTTTGGATGCAGGTAAGTGCAGGGCACGTGCAAAGGCATGGGGAGAAAAACAGGCCTACTGGAAGTTTGGGGAGACCATTTCCAGCCTCTAGAGGGCCTCCGGAGCCTGTGGAGACCGTTTTCTCCCTCCCAGAGGCTCAAAGAAAGCCTCCGGAGCCTGGGGAGGGCAAAAATGCTCACCCGCCGTGGTGCAGGAGGCTGACTAGGCCACATCCACTGCCCACCCAGCAACCGAGCAGAAAACCCCTTGCTAAAATTTTTGAAGCCCACCCCTGGGCAATACGTCCCTGACTTATGATCACAATTGAGCTCAAAACATCTGTTGCTAAGTGAGACATTTGTTAAGTGAGTTTTGCCCCATTTTATGATTTTTCTTGCCACATTTGTTAAGTGACTCACTGCACCTGTAAAATTAATTACACGGTTGTTAAGCGAATATGGCTTCCCTGTTAACTTTGCTTGTCAGAAAGTTGCAAAAGATTAGTGACCCTGAGACGTTGCAACTGTCATAAGTACAAGTCTGTTGCCAAGCATCTGGATTTTGATCATGTGAGCAGGGGAATGCTACAGCAGTCATTAAGTGTGAAAAACGGTCAGAAGTCACTTTTTTCAGTGCTATTGCAATTTCGAATAGTCACTAAGTAAACTGTTGTACGTCAAGGACTAATTGTATACAGTTTATTTAGTAATCTTTATATAGGAAACTACCGTTTCCCCCAAAATAAGACATCCCATGTTAATAAGCCCAATCGGGCTTTTAAGCACATGACAATAAGGCCAAGCGCTTATTTCAGGGTTCAAAAAAATATAAGACAGGTTCTTATTTTCGGGGAAACATGGTAGCTGCATATTAATGGACAAAGTAGTTAACTCAGAAAAACTTAGAGTTGGTAGGTTCCTCATCTGTTCAAAATCAAGTAGCTAATTTATTACTAATATGTAAAATATGTTTCCGTTTCTTTGGTCTAACAATGCAGAGGAAATGCTAATGAGGCCCACTCAATTCCACTGTACAGTGTAGGAAACTGAGCCCCTTGCTCTCTGCCAAAAGCAACTAGTGAAAACAAATCATCAGCATTAGCCTTATTAGACTAGGATGCTATTTCCTTAGCAGATGCTGTATATTCCATTTCAAAAATAAACAAGGGGTTTTTTTTAGTGACTCTAGAGTTGTCCTGAGAGGAAGAAGACGAGGACAACTGTAGTCCTATTGGAGCAGTGAAGTCAGGGACATTATCAAGTTTAAGCAGCTTGGAGGAAGAAAACACCTCCGCGGATGACCTTCTGCCCTGGCTGACGTCATGTTATGTTGGCAGCAGTTACAGGGAAAGGCAAGCTGTAGGCTTTGTAACTGAACTTCCAGGAAGGAAGGCTGCTGTTCCTTTATAGTTGATTTTATAGATTTGTCACAAAATGACAAATTGTCACAAAATGACAAATAACCTACAATTTTCTAATTGTAGGTTATTATGGTAACTCAGACATCCTATGAAATCAGTGACTTTGGTTCATGGAAAAAAAACAAGTGGTGACAAATGAAATTTCCCCTGAGATTTTGTATTGTTGTAAAATACCGTTGCAGCTTCTGACCATCACACTTAGAAAATGGGTAATTCCATTGCCAATAACATAGATGTTAGGAAATGACAGTACTGAATCAATTGTGAATAATAATCTCACAAATAATAATAACCTTCTCACTACCAGACTCTGTGGTCTCATCCCAAAACCCCCAAAACTTTAACCTAAAACTATCTACTGTTGACCTCACCCCATTCCTAAGAGGTCTGTAAGGCACATGCAAAAGAGCACCAGCATGCCTACAGCCCCTGTCCTAATGTTCCCTTTAATTGTACTCATTTTATGTATTCAATTCATGCTTATACTTATATACATTATCTAATATGTACTCGACAAAATAAAATAAAATAAAATCAATAAATTATTTTATTGTTCATGGTAGAATTTTAGAAGCTCAGTTGTACAGGTTTTGTTTCCATCCAAAAATGTTACAGTTTGTTTATATTTTTCATTGGCTAATCACCAATGTCAGAAAAGTTGCTTTTCACATTCTTTTCACACTATTATGAGATGATGTTTTAGTGGGATGAAGTAAAGTAAAGGAGTCCCTGGGGGTTTTACTCTGCTAGTTGTATGCCAACTTTAGGGAGCAGTGCTCGTCTCTGTTTCATTAAGCCATCGAGCCAGCACTGTCCAAAGATAGTCATGTGGCCACTATAACATCATGCCGCAGCGCAAAGTGTATGGCAAAACACAGAACACTGTTACCTTTCCAACAAAGTGGTACCTATTTATCTACTCGCATTTACAGCTTTTGAACTTCTAGCTTGGCAGTAGCTGAGGCAGATGACGGGAGCTCACTCCCTCATGTGATGGTAGAACTCGAACCGGCAGTGTATAGACCAGTGATGGCTAACCTTTTTGCCATTGTGTGCCAAAAACAGGGGGAGTGCGGGGGGGTCATGTGCGCGTGTGCCCATACCCAATGCGCCCCACTTCCCCGCGCATGCACGTGCGACCTCCCCGCTTTTGGCATGCGATGGCACAGTGGGTCCAGTAGGCCCGTTTTTTGCCCTCTCCAGGCTCCAGAGGCTTTCTAGGAGCCTGGGGAGGGCGAAAATGGGCCTTCCCCACCCCCTGGAGGCCCTCCACAGGCTGGAAATGGCCCATTTTCCGACTTCCGGTGAGCCCGGAAGGCCCGAAAATCAGATGCGGGCTCCAGAGCTGAGCTAGGGCAACGCTCATGTGCCCACCGATATGGCTCTGCATGCCACCTGTGGCACGCGTGCCATAGGTTCGCCATCACGGATATAGACCTTCTCTGACATCTTTTAAGCCACTGAATTCCCACACTTCTAGTAGGATGAGAGGTAATATAAAATTAAGCCATACAAAGTTTAAATCATATATGAATGTTAACAATATGGCTTATTTGTTAAAGCAAATGAAAAAAAGTTTCCCCTTTGTTTTCAGCTGTTTTCATTAAGTTTCCTTTGAACTTGCAGATTGAGCCTCTGGATGGACCCTTGGAAGGAGGAACTCAGGTCACGATTCGAGGGAGAAATCTTGGGCGTAGATTCAGTGATGTTGTTAATGCTGTCAAGATAGGAAATGTGAAATGTTCACCACTTCAGGACAGATATATAGTCTCCGAGGAGTGAGTAATTCAAGCTAAATTATTTTGAAATCAAGCACATGGGAAGGGTTGATTTTGTCCTTTTCAGGGGATTGATCCTTTCTTGCTTCAGGGTTCAGGTATGTGATGGCTTTGGTATATGACTGCATAGAGGATTTCATGAATCTGTTAATATGTAAATTGATAACAGAATATTCAATCCTTAACTTCTGTGACTGTTACTACTAACTGCTACTGTTTGCCTACTGACCCAGTGAATGAAACCGTCTGGTGCAAACAACCAGACCCACACTCAAAGAATTCAGTTAGTTGTTTTATTGCCGAAACCATAATCTCAGACTGATGGTTTGCAACTGAGTGAGACTAGATAAGTCAGTGAGACTGTCACTGGGTGTTGTGCCTTGTGATTCTTGATGAATATATCTTGTCTTTTTAGGTACACTGAGAGCATATGCACCAAAGACAAATTCCTTGTGTGTCCAATCACACTTGGCCAATAAAGAATTCTATTCTATTCTATTCTATTCTATTCTATTCTATTCTATTCTATTCATTCTATTCTATTCTATTCTATTCTATTCTATTCTATTCTATTCTATAAGGTTCAACATCATTTAAGGGAGGTTGGATTTCGCCTCTTATACCCACATAGGAATTCTAGACTAAGTTCCCATTTGACTCCTCCCCTAGCTGTCTCCCCTGAATGACAGACTCCTCCCCTAGTCTGTCTCCTACAGAAACTATCTGGGCCACATCATTTCCAGAAGAAATGTCTGTCTGTCTGTCTCTCTCTCTCTTTCTCTCATGCACACACACACACACATATGCATATGTGAAAAGATATATAATCTTTTCATTTTTAATGAAGAAATTTCTTCCAAATTATAGGTAACAAAACTAAAACTTAAAATTGAAGCATTCACATCCTAGAATTCAAGCTCTTTATGCTATGTATTATTGTTCTGATTGAAAAAAAAATACATAATTTCATGCAGGTTTTTTAAATGCAAAGATAACATAAATAAGGAAATTCCTTTTTATATAAGGTAATACCTCACTGACAAGCATAAGTTTTTCTTTAGTTAGCTGTCTTTGTGTAACAAAGGACTGTAATCCACAAAATTCAGAGCTTTCTCATCTCTTATAGACAGGGAGGAACTTAGGGTGACAAGAGTAATAAAACTTACACAGCTGCTCCCCATGCTGTCATAGTTTAGAAACAATTTCTGCAGTTCTATCAATTTTTTCCCTAGCTTCACATCCACATACTTTTTGCAGTTGTCTTCATTATTGAAACTAGACAGGTTTCACAGACCAGCTAAGGTGACTTGTCTACATCCTAATTTGGGATGAAATCATCCATACAGGAAAAATTCTATTTTATTCTGTAAATGGAATACTCACTCAAGAACAAAGGTTAAAAGGTTTAGCTAATAAGCAACCTAGAATTACTGACTCTGTTGTTCTGTTATTAAAAGCACTATAACGACATTTAACTTTGATAGATACACAGATTATACATTATGAAGAGTTGATGGATATAGGTAGGGATAAGTATGCATGAATTAAGAAAAAGGAAAAATATACATAGCCATGCCAAAAATGCATCATAATTAAAATAAATTTATGTGATTGAATGCCTAAACATGCTTATTACATCTTAGTAGTGTCCCCAGGGGTGAAATCCAGCAGGTTCTGACAGGTTCTGGGGAACCGGTAACGGAAATTTTGAGTAGTTTGGAGAATCGGTAAATGCCACCTCTGGCTGGCCCCAGACTGGGGTGGGAATGGAGATTTTGCAATATCCTTCCCCCAGGAGTGGGGAGGGAATGGAGATCCTTCCCCTGCCACACCCACTAAGCCACGCCCACCAAGCTTCACCACGCCAACCAAGCCACACCCACAGAACCTATAGTTTAAAAAATTTGGATTTCACCACTGATTGTCCCTGATACATCTTCTACTTCTGCGTATTTATGAATTAAAGCAACATTACACTTATAACTTCCTACAATGGCCCTTTAATTTTCTGGCCAAGTATTATGTTTTAAAACTTTCCCCATTATAGCCACTGTTGCAGCTTTTTCTTCAGTATAAAATCTTTTAATAGCAATAATATTGACCAGAAATGACATTCGTTCTCTCTCGTGTGCAGGAGAAGGGGACATTTCCCAACATTTATATGCAGGATACTGTTTATCCTACAGAAATTATTCCTGTCGCTCTGTTTTGCAACTTGTGTGACAGAATAAAGTTGAATATAGGGCATCGATGATGAATGGGGATATGTTGACTGGCTACCATTTTCAATTTTAAACCACCCCTCACCCCCCTCAACACCCCTGGCTAGTATATATACATTCACCACAACAATATTATTATTTTACAATAGAGTAAAAAACACATAGTACACACTTACATTTAGTAGAAAACAAAAATCCTTGCTGTATCTGGTAATAGCAATATTGAGGTTATTGAAATTATCCAAAAAACACAGTGTAGTTCCTGGAAAAATTTTTCATGTAGATGAAAAATGCATAAACAGCGCATTGGACAAAGGACTAATGAAAAAGTTACGGTTCAATTAATTAAAGCAGTGCGGTGGTTTTTGGTGCAGGCATTCTTTACATTTCAAATCCTATTCCAAGCAGAAGCTAGCAGCACGTTTAAATCATGAAATTGTTTTTAAAAGTATTTTTTAAAATTTGCAAAATAGAGAAAAAAATGAGAAAAACCCAAAAGACCAACAAAATAATCCCCCGCGGCCGCGCGGGGGATTATGGAAGCGACAGGGCGCTCCCATGTTACACCTCTCCTGCACGAGCTGCACTGGCTTCCTGTGGTCTTCCGGGTGCGCTTCAAGGTGTTGGTGACCACCTTTAAAGCGCTCCATGGCTTAGGGCCAGGATATCTATGAGACCACCTTCTGCCGCCAACAGCCTCCCACCGGCCAGTTCGCTCGCACAGAGAGGGCCTCCTCAGGGTGCCGTCGGCCAGACAATGTTGGCTGGCGACCCCCAGGGGGTGAGCCTTCTCTGTGGCGGCACCTGCCCTCTGGAACGACCTACCCCCAGAGATACGCACAATACCAGACCTCTGGACTTTTTGTCGGGCCCTGAAAACTCATCTATTTCATCTAGCCGGGCTGGCTTGATCCCATCCTTTCAGTTTTAATTTGAAATTGGTTTTAACTGGGTTGTTTTAAATTGAGGGCCGAAATTATTTAATGTCTTTTAAACTGTTTTTTAAATTTTATATGTTATGTTTTATCTCGGCTGTTCACCGCCCTGAGTCCTGTTGGAGAAGGGTGGTATAAAAATCAAATAAAATAAATAAA